CTGCCGGCTGCTCACAGTTAACTTACAGGAGCCCACTGCAGCTCTACTGCAGCCTACGCCGTTCGCCGGTGACTCACTGCAGCCCAGCTCCAGGTTGAGCTGTTGTTCACCATCTTAGCTGTAGAGGGCGCAGCATCACTGGCCCTCATGTGGGATCCAAACTGGGGCCCTGCTGCACAGTGCTGGCATCCCAAGCCAACTCTTAACCAACACGCCACTCGGCCAGCCCCAGTTTAATCTTTTTGTAAAGAAATAGTAGGTGGTTTAAGTGAAATAGAGAAAAAGGACTCATTCCCTTCCACACCCAAGATTATTTTTGGCTTGTATGCTGTCGTATGGAATGGTTTTCTTTTGCTAATTTGATTAAATAACTACTCTACCTCCAAACAGTAGAACATTTGGTCAACTATGTAAAATAAAGGCAAAGATCTTTATGATGAATTTATAATGCTCTCTAAGATAGAGAATTATGTTTAAAAAACCAAGGCAAAACAACATGTATGCTGTTTGTGTAAGAGTGGTTAAAAAATAGAAAATTACAGATTTGTCTGAATCCATACATATAATTCTGGTGGCTTGCCTAAGAAACTGGTATTTTTGGTTGCCTCTGGGGAGGATAATTAGGTGGCTGGAGGATGGGAGTAGGGAGCTATTGCACATTATTTCTGCCTTAAAATTTTAAACCATGTGACTGTATTACCTAATAAATAAAAAATTAAAAATGCTAGAGAGCTTTCGATACCCAGTTTTCCCCTGTTTTGGGATTCTGATGTAATACACCTACCACCATGTAACTTGATCCTAAAAACATGTGCTGTAATGACAGATGTTCTTCTGACACTCAGGAGGCCATGGGCAAGAGCATGGAGAGTCGCGATCATCACTACATCTTGGAACCTGTGTGCGCATCTGCCCTTTTGAAGAGAAACTGCTCCAAAGAGCCCCTGAGGTCCCGGCACACTCCCCGTATTGAATGTGATATCCAGCTGGAGACCATTCCCTTGAAACTCTCT